ACGTTTGTACATCTAAAAATCTAAAGTATTCAATATCTTGCACATCTTGTTGCGGAATAAAATTATGAGACATGTTATTTACTTATTATTACTCTCGTATGTAATACGGTATTTATTACTCTTCTTTCTTTTGAATGAGGGTATCTATATCACTTTGAAAATTAATTTGATAAACTTTTTTTTCACTTTCATTCTTCTTAACAAGTATTTTGCCGTTCTGTACCCATATGTATTTGTATGTTTCCTTTAACTTAGTTTTCGCTGTCCAGAACAGCTCACGCATTTGACGGATTAAATACTCGTTTATATAAATTCGAGAGTTGTTATCGTTTTTAAAAATAATATCATTTGTAATTACCGTTTTTCTGCACTTCAGCCATGATAAGCGAGCCTCTCGTGAGCGCAATGCCACTACCAAGGGCCTTACTGTTCTGTTATTATCACCCGGAATTCTCCAGAATTTTTCAATGTCCTCCACTTTTAATTGTAAGTGTTGGCAAATTTCGTTTCCCTCTATCACCTCTTACGACACCCGCGGGACTATATGGGATAGTGGATATTCTTACACCGTTAACTACTCGTAGTGTTCAATTGTTTAACTTTAATATTCAATCAGCCTATCATATCTTTGACAGACAACAATTATTTACGATGAAAAGCTACTTTAACGAACGAACTAGTAAACGAAGCTAAGTTTAACGAGCCGTCTTTTGTACAGTTTAACAAAAGAAAATTCTCTTGTTACTCGGGAAGAGAGATCGAGATAATTGAACGTAGCAAGCTTAACAAGTACTAATAAACTAAAGTTGAAGCCTTTATACGTCGATATGCTCCGCACAGGCCTTCTCATATTTCTAAGATGGCTTAGCAATGAGTTGCGGTGCTAGAGAACAGAATTCGCGAAGCGGTTTGGGTGCGTTTTTTTTTTAAAATTAAAAACAGGTTTTCTAGCTTCTTTCTTGCGTTTGTTAAACAGCTGTTTATTCGTGGGTTTTTTAAAATTTGAATTTAAGTTATCATTAGTTATCGTTATCGCAGATTGCAGGTGCGCATATTCACATCAACAATTTGATTGTTTTACGTTTTACTTTTTATTATTGTTTCTCCACTTATAACTGGTCAAATATCATGACTGACTCTTATAGTATGTGATATAGATAGATGGTGGTTTTTTTCTGCCATTGCATGACTGTAATCCAAAATATGTAGATAAGCTGTGTACTAATAAATAATGATAATTAGTTTATTAATGTGCCAGTACATCAAGTTAATAAATATTTTATTACGTTCATTAATTTATTCATTACAGCCTATAATAAAAGACTACTGTTAAATAGTCTATGAACATGATTAAGGCGGCAGTCCGTTGCTGCTCGTCTCATGGTTTGGTTTCTCTCTGTTGCCTTTTACTGACACCGCCTCTGAACGGTCGGTCGGTCAACAAATCGAGGATGTGCATATTAAGCAACTTTAAAAAAAATGGGTAGAATTTTTTTAAGTGAATTTCCCCTTAGTTGTTTTCATCAAAATTATTTCGCTGACTAAAATGAAATATCAATTTTGTTTAGGAAGTTTCATGTCAGGGGTTTGCCAGGTTAGGTACCAATCTTTTACCCGCTTTTTTATCAATAGACTAATATAGTATTGCAATAACATACTGATTATGCCTCATTAAAAACAAACAATAGTAATTTTATAAAATGTGGCACTATTTAATCATCTTAATCACACCAAATGGTTGTTTATCTACTGACTTCAAAAAGGAGATGGTACTCAATTCGACTGTATGTTTTTTTATGTGTGTTACCTCATAACTTTTTTTTGGGTGAACCGATTTCGATGATTACTTTATCCAGTGTGAAAGTATTAATACATTTCCACTAATAATAATCGAAAAGTTCTATGAGGTTAAAAATTATGTAAACAATTAGATAGGATACGGTTGCAATTTGGCTTACTAAACAATCGACGTTACGCGGAAAATCCTTTGTAAGTTTTTTGGTCCCATCGGACGTTATTAAGTTACTATATTTTGTAAAAGTAAATAAATATATTAAATATAACGATTACAATCTGGTGATTTAATGTAAGATGATGGACAATGAAGTAAAGGAGGAAGCAATGTTGTAATTGTAGTCAAAATAGCAGTTGGAGCCGACATTTACATGTAAAAGTTTTGATAGAAAATCATTAATGCATAAAGAAGTATGGCAGAACAATAATTTAGTATTACGCTGACAAGACTAGACTAAGCTTGTTTGGAAGATTTTTTATTTAAATATGTACCGGTGATAGAACCAGAAAAATATATTATGTTGATCTTAGACATATGACTAAGCACACCATTGTTAACAAAAAAGTATGTAAAAATTTTCATGATAATAAGAAAAGGTTAACTAACCTCCTCAAATGACCTTCCAACGAATATCTGCATTTCTTATCAACATATGCAATAACATATGATACTTGAATACAGAACTTGGTTTTTTTTTTAAATTTAAAATAAGGATGACAAACGAGCACACGATACACGAATATAAGCATCCAACTAACATCAGGTGGACTTCTGGTAAATGGATATTTTAACTAAATGACATTAACATCTAGCCTCGATTAAGAATCAAAATTTTGATGCATAGACGCCTATGAAGATCACCATACGAAACAGTCATTTTATTTATTTATTTTATAGGAGAGAGGACAAACGAGCATACGGCTTACCTGATGGTAAGTGACTAACGCCGCCCATGAATAGCTGGAACACCAAGGTCAGGTCAGCAGTGGTCGTACGCGGATAAAATCTCCTAGTGAAACGTACAGTGATGGATCGCCAAGGATCCAGATATTATGGATGGTATCAGGAGTTTAGCTGAGATGTGTGTTCGTGAAATTTGGCGGCTGGGATTAATTCAAACAATTCCCCAGAGCACTCCCCGTGGTAAATGCGAAATAAAATGCAAAGGGATGCAACATCTCTGCGCAGCGCCAGTGAATCGAGCCGATCGGAAAGGACTTGGTCCTCGACGATTCGAACCGCTCTGCGCTGGATGCGGTCAAGTGGAAGGAGCTGGCACTGGGGAGCCCCTGCCCAGAGATGGGAACAGTATTCCATGTGAGGCCGAACCTGCGCCTTGTAAAGTTGCAGGCGGTGTGCCGGCATGAAATACTGTCCCGCTCTGTTGAGCACGCCAAGCTTTTTAGGGGCCAATTTGGCCTTCTCTTTCAAGTGACCCCGAACGTGAACGTTACTCGATATGTCGGCGCCGAGGATTACGATACTGGCCGAGGCTCAAGGGGAGTGCCTTGAAACTGAGGAGAAGGAGAGAAGGAGTTCTTTTTAGCGGTAAACGCGCAAACTTGTGTCTTCTGAGGATTAAACGTAGAGCTATGCTGCAGCTATATTAATAGCATAGTTATAACAAGAATGAATGACTGACTCTGTGGAGTCGAGAAACTGGTATCACTAGCTTGTATTTGTTCCTAGTATTTACAGAATGTATATCCCTGTTTTTTACTAAATTTTCCTTTGTTTTTGTAAACATACATAAAATCTTTGCAAATATACTGAGAGGCCAAAGTTAATATATTTATTTCTTTAAATTTATTTCTAAGAGAGTCTCTCGGATTTAGGTTGTAAATAGCTCTAATGGCCCTCTTCTGTAAAAAAAAATAGTTTCTGAATCAGCCCCATTTCCCCATAGCAAAATCTCATAAGACATTATGCTATGGAAATAAATGAAATAAACTAATCTAGCTGTCTCGACACTAGTGAGACCTCTAATCTTTTTTACAACATAGGCTGCAGAACTTAGTCTGCTTGCTAGTTTGTATATATGAGGGCCCCACTGAAGCTTTGCGTCGAGAGTGATGCCAAGAAAAAAAAAATGGATACAACAGGGCTCAGTTCCTCCCCATTTAAAATACATTGGTATTTAGATTTTTAACATTCGTTGTTGTAAACTTAACACAATTAGTTTTATCTCTGTTTAAATGCAGATTATTAACGTTAAACCAATGCACTAATTTTGATATAGCATTATTCACTTCGTCATATTTAAATGATTGACGTTTAAGTTTAAAAATCAAGGAAGTATCATCAGCAAATAATACTATATCATGATTATCCACTACAAGGGAAGGTAAGTTATTAATATACACTAGGAACAGGAATGGGCCGAGAATCGAGCCCTGAGGGACACCCATTAGTATAGGTGACCCGGAAGAACTTTTATCATTGATAATAACCTTCTGCATTCTATTACTTAAATATGAAATAATAAGTTTAAGCGCTGTGTTCTTGACACCATAGTACTGTAGCTTCCTGATTAATGTCTCATGGTGAACACATGAGTCAGTTAGACCAGAACATCACCAGCTGATCAACCCAGATGAAAGCCTTCTTGGCGGTCACTAATCAGCTGGTATTTTAAGCTGCTATTATGTGAGAGCATAGTCCTTCCCGTTTAAAGTTTTAAACATATATTTTATGTTGATACACTTACAATAAGCTGTACAAAAATAGTACGTAAAGATATTGTTATGGGATATACGTTGTATAAATAAAATTGCAGTGTAATCCTTAGTATTATAAATATCAGAGAAACAGAAGGCGTAACTTAAACAATCGGAATGTCGAAACTGATTACTTGATGTCAGCGCTAAACTTCTTTTAGGTAGAAATTGGTAGAAATGTAAGGTAGGAATATGCCATCTTTTTTAAATACTAAAACCTAATGTGTACGTGGTGCACTCTGCAGATTGATGTACAACGTTTCAACAAACGACTTACGCCGAAAATATATTTAAAAAAAATTAAATCTAAATTTCAAATTTCAAATTTTATATCTTGCGGCTCTGTCTTTGCTCACTAACCTACCTATTGCAGCTGGCGCATTTTCAAAAATGCCAATGTGCAGTAGTGTGATATCAGTGTCATATAGTATCACATAGTGATGGAATAATTGTTTTAGTTTCATTAATTATTCATTTTTATTAAACAGGTGCTTATCGACAATCCATACAACATGCCTAACATGGATTCGCCAATCTCTCTAGTAAATCCATCTACGGAGGTTATGATAGGGCTTTCTCCTGAACGCACATACACCACATCTGGAGTCAAATCTTTCAGTCCAGACGAGAGGCAATGTTACTACTATGACGAGGTAAATATGTTTCTATGTGTTTATCGCTTATCATTACAGCCTATTAAAATCCACTGCTGAACATAGGCCTCCTCCATAGATTGCCCCCATAGGGGGGATATATATCAAAGTTGTCACGCTTTGCAAGCGGGTTGGTTAGCGTGGTTTTTTATTTTTAGTCGTTATTAGGTAGTCGCTGCTGCCCATCTCCTGATTTGTTTTCCTCTGTCGTCTTTTACGACACCCACAGGATGATATGGGGTAGTGGATGTTCTTATATCACCACTACCCGGTACGGTATGTTTAGTGAAAGTTATTCTAACAATCTCTTAGAATAGAAATAATTAATTTATTATTAAATCTTACAACACCTTGAAATAATGCAAGATAACAGACATATCGGGGTTCATGATAGGATAACTTTACACTAAGACATGCAGTCGACATAATCTATCGATAAAGGTGTGATTTTTAATCTTTTTTATAATCTTGTCTTAAATAAAATATGTGATATCTCAAGAATATCAATTGAAAAATGACTTGGTTTAAGATATATTACTACGCCGAAGTTTAATATTACTTGTAACGCAAGTGAGTTCTTTTTTAAAGAAAAAGGATGACAAATGAGCACACAGTCCACCTGATGGTAAGAGGATGCTGTGGCTCTTAGACATTTATACATATCCTAGATTAAGAATAAAAATGTAGGTGCGTGGATAAAATACCCTGGATAAGGTATTGTTAGTTATTTATTAGCCCATTCATGCTACAACTATAATATCGCTACTGCATGATTCCTCAAAATTTATGTGAAAAAATTTGTGCTTTTACTATTAATTTCGAACCAAAAGGACCTAATTGGAGATATATTGAAGATTTGTCAATACGCTCAGCGTATTGGCAAACATTTAGTCAAGCGGCGGTTAGTCAATTTATCTGTATACTGATTTGCGTTTAAGTACAACACCGTAATGAAAAATTAACGTTCAGATATAACTGCATCATCATCAGCAACACCATAATGATGCTGCCGCCAGCTCTGATTCCAATGAAGCTGTAAAGGCCAACTGTCTAACAGCATTAACATTACTGAAAATAAGTGGAGTACAAGGGGAGCAGATTGTGCTCATTTGTCACCCTTATTCTACAAAAACCTAGTAGAATCTATCCATACTTGCAAAAATAGGGAAAAATATAGTTTGAAGAGTACATTACTAAATTAAGATTTATTGTTTTTACTTTACTAGGGTTATTAATTACCAGCTGTTCCCCGCGACTTCGCTCGCGTCTTAGGGTTTTATTTTTTTGCGCGGAACCCTGATTCTTATTCTAAAATAAAAGTAGCCTAAGTTACTCCTTATGATATCAGCTATCTGCCAGTGAAAGTTCCGTCAAAATCGGTCCAGCCGTTTTGGAGATTAGCCGCAACAAACAGACAGACAGACAGACGGACAGGCAGACAGACAGACAAAAATTTTAAAAATTGTATTTTAGTTATAAGTACCGTATTTACTTTCATATGCATTTAGTAAAAAGCTGTTATTTTAACATTACAAACAGACACTTCATTTTTATTTATTTGTATAGATTAATAATAGACAATGTCATAAGAAATTTTCGTCATGCTGGCGGCTTGTTCAACGGTATACGTAATATAGGTTTCTAATGAATATATCACTATTTATCAGTTGTCATACCCTCGTTTATTGATACACAGCAACGTTCTCACAATGTGAGGTCGTCATTTGATTGTTCGATACACCTTACACCTCGGCTTATATATGACTTATCTACTTGGTATAGTGATAAGCGGGTCTCTCTGATAATCACTTTAATTCTAATCTATATAATAATATAATATCTAATAAAGCTAGTATAAAACAGTTTACTTGATCGGTTGATAGAATAGAGCTAAATTATTGAAAATTGTAAATTTTACATAAACTGAAGGTAGACTGCCCGGAAGTGAGTCTTTTGTAGTAAGTAGAGATAAGAAACAAGTTTTTGGTCGTATCGAATTTAAATTTTACTTTGTTATAAATGTAAAACTAAGAAATTATTTTGACAAATAGCCTTACTTTCGCAATAATTTATTTGTTATTATTATTTACGTTTTAGGATTCATTTTAATTGATCGCAAGTGGGTTATGGACCAATGAAATTCATCAGTCATGCAATGTGATCCCCTCTTTCTTTGCTCCAGCCAAGTGTGTTTTTGATAGACGACACTCTTAGGGCCTGCGCTCACAGACGGCACGGCATGGCTCAGCGCGGCGTATCAAAGGATTTTTTTCGTGGACAAAATATTTTGTACCTTATTTTAATGAAATTAGCACTGAAATTTCTTTATTTCAACACGAATAGATTGAAAAGCGACACTGCGGCATGCTGTTGCACGACACATCATTCCCCGGAATGCTGCAGCACGTCACAGCATTCCATGAAGTTTCACGCGGCACGCCGCTGCATCACGTGAAACGCATAGGTTACTTCATGTTGTTAAAGAAATGTGACTGTTAAGTAACTGAAACAAGGTTGAATCTAGCCCGTTGCGGCGGCAATAGGGTTGCCAGATCGGAAGGTCAAAATATCTGGACAAAATTTGAAAATGTCGGGATTTTGGGGTTGTTGTCGGGAGAAATAAATTATATGAAAAATAAAATGGTAAAATAAAAAAAAATATTTTTTAAATTAATAGGCTACAAAAAGAATTAACATTGTTGACAAGTAACCAATTTAATTACACTTAAATTTTAGGTTGTCACATGTATTTGACATTGGACTTTACTGAGTCCCTTACTTTAGGTCCTTTAGTAGTAATGATGTCTTATATTTACGCGAACGTACCTTTAGTAGTAATGATGTCTTATATTTATACGTGGTAGAGCCATGCTGCAGCTATATTAGTAGTATAATTGTAGCACGAATGGGTCGGCTCGACCGGGGAAGGACCACGCTCTCACAGAATACCAGCGTAAAATGGCAGCTTGACATTGATGTGTTTCGTATGGTGAGTGTTTCGTACCGGAGACCTATTTTACTGGAAAAGAGGCATTCCATCTTAATCCTCACGGGTGCCGACGCATCTGCATTTTGATTCTTTCATCATCATCATCATTACAGCCCTTCACAAGTCCACTGCTGAACATAGGCCTCCCCCAAAGAATGCCACAAAGCACGGTCCTGAGCCACCTGCATCCATCGACTTCCTGCATGTCTTACCAGGATAAATGTAGATGTTTATGGGTCACAGCAACCACTTACCATCAGGTGGACTGTGTGCTCGTTTGTCACCCTGTCCTATAAAAAAAATCACTACAAATTGAATAAAACTATTTTTACGGATTTTATCGCGTTTAATTTACTATTTTAATTCCCGACGTTTCGGGTGCTTTACAGCAACCCATGGTCAGGGGGAGGACTGAATATTTGACGTCCCGATGTCACAGTTAGCCCGGCTACCTTCAGTTTTTTAATATAAATTTTTGGTCTCTTTTAGTAGTATTCAGAAATTATTTAAAATTCAATCAATTTACTTGAAATAAATTCAATTCACTTCCTAACGATTTCTCTCTTTGGTATATAAATTATTTAGCAACCTGAACACCCCTTTACAGTAAGCATTGCTTATAGGAATCGGCAACACAAATGATATATTATTTTTCAAGTTTTAGGTCGTTTTGGTTGCATTTAAAAAAATGCCCAAATTTTGTCATTTTACATGTCCTTGTTTTATGGAAGATGTTCAAGTGTTTCAATGTCAATATCGTTTGAAATATTAAGTACGTCAGGCAATACGGATAACTCTTCCTACGTAAATAAATATGCAATTTTTAAAGACAATACAGCGAGTTTTTATACAGAGTTCTCAGAAAAATAGCGTTCTTGCAAGTATTGAATAGCTCGTTTTAAAAATGTTCAGCTTTGACGCAAAAAGGGATTTTCTCACTATCGGAAACATTCCATAATATAAAGGTTCTTTTTCTACTATCTAAATATTTGTCATCCAACCTGTTTTGAGATTACTCTTTAGCTTTTTCATTATACATTTAAGTTCTAGGACAGTGCATGCAGCACTATCCAATGCTAAAATTGCTATTTGGAACTCCAACATTACGTTGTAAAGTATAAACACGTTTCTGAAATCCCCTTTCAGTTTGTATTCGTCAACCCGTTCACTATTATTATCAACATCGCTTATACTTTTTGTTAGGAACTCCCATATTAATATCTCTTTTCGACATTCGTCTTCCCTTTTCAACATAAAATACTGCTTTACAGTAGACTAACAATACAGTAAATGATGGGCAAAAGGGATAGCCATCTTGTCGGGACATGACGAAGAAGAAAGTGAAGGCGCGTGGCAATTTTAAATTATTATTTTGTATAGAACTTTCCGAGAAGCCGTTTGTCTGGAGATTTTAAGTTTTGTCGGGAGTCTGGAGATCATTCAAAATGTCGGGAGAATCTAGATGAATCCCGACCATCTGGCAACCCTAGGCGGCAATCTCAGAGACTCGCGCGAGCGCCCGATACATGAGCGCGTCTTGACTTGTTTCGCATACCGTGGAATACCACAGGATCCTTCGCCGTGACGCGAGATGTTACAGGATCGTTCGGCATGACGCGAGATACCTCATTATCGTTCGGCATACCGAAGTGTGCCTTGCCACGCTGTGCCACGCCGTGCCCTCTGTGAGCGCAGCCCTTTAAAGATAAATCTCTGAGAGATAAATTTAAAGAAATAAATATATTAACTTTGGCCTCTCAGTATATTTGCGAAAATTTTATGTATGTTTACAAAAACAAAGGTAGTTTTAGTAAAAAAAGTGATATACATTCTGTAAACACTAGGAAAAAACACAAGCTAGTGATACCAGTTTCTCGACTCCACCGAGTCAGTAATTCATTCTTGGGGCAATGTATACGCTATTACAACAAGGTCCTGGAAAGTGTACAGGCTCTCTTTATTACCAAGTTTAAATGTTTTGTTAAGTTGAAATTGTATAAAAAGGGTTATT